GCCGCCGCCGGCCCCCAGCCCGGAGCCCGGGCCGCCGCCCCCGCCCGAGCCGCCCCGCTTGGAGCCCGCCACGCTCTTGTTCTCCTTGCGCTTCTCCCGCTTGTGGCGCGCCGCCTCGTACTCGGCCGCCTCCTCCAGCCGCGCGATGCCGTTGCGGCGGTAGCGCTGCAGCTCGCGCACCTTGGCCCGGAGGGCGCGCTCCTTGTGCATGTTCTCGAAGAGCTCCTCGAACTCCCGGTGCGCCATGAACTGGCAGAGCGCCCGCAGCCGCGCCCGCTGCTCCTTCTCCTCCTTGGTGATCTTCCGTTTGGGCGTGCCGGGGACAGGGACTGGTCCGGCCGCCGCCGTCGTGGTGGTCGTCGTGGAGCCCGGTCCAGCCGCCGCCGCCCCACCGGTGACTGCGCCCACGCCGGCGGCGCCGGCCCCCACCCCCGCGGCCCCCGGCTTCTCCTTCTCCTTGTCCTTCTTGTCCCGGCCCAGGAAGGCCGGCACCAGGTTGTAGTCGCGGGCGATGTTCTTGCGGCGCTGGCGCTCGCGGAGCTTGCGCACGTACATGTCCACGTGGGCGCGCTTCATCTCGATCTCCACGTCCTCGTCGTCGTAGTTGACCGACAGGCCGCTGATGAGCTTCTCGGCGTCCTGGTCGTACTCGATCTCGTAGTCGTCGCGCAGCGGCATGTAGCCCAGCTGCTGCTGCTCCGCCAGGCTGATGTCCAGCGGGGGCAGCGGGGTGGTCAGGCTGGGCGACAGCGGGCCCCCGCTGGGGCAGGTGTGGTCCGTCACCCGGTTGGGAATGCTGTCGGGAATGCAGGCTTTGCCCAGGTTTCCGTGGATGTACATGGTGACGTAGTGCTCCATGACTTCCTGGGGGGTCCGGGACGCTCCCACGTGGGCGGCCATGTCCTCCTGGTAGAAAAAGGGACCAGAGGAGGGGCGTGGCACAGTGGATAAATACACCGGCGACATGGATCCAAGCTCGGGTTCAGGAGGGCTACGTTTCCCTGCTTCAACAAACCTGATTTAGGCTCAAATCATTAAGTTCTCTACAAGTCTGCCAATGCTACAATGATTTGAATCAGCAGGGGAGCAGAGAAACATTTAACCCTTTAGCGTGACAGCCCTCAAATCAGTGAACTTCTACATTCAGGTTCCAGCCAGATAAAGTCTGTACTGTGATCATTTATTACTTCACCCATTCTGACCCGATGGAACGTTTATGGAAAATCTGCCGTGAGGTCCAGAATGGTTTTAATGCTTTTACCTCTAATGTGTCCCATCATGACTTCAGACACACGATCAGACGTTTAGCCTCTGAAATGTAATCTTTTTTTTTTTTTGTCATTTCTTCAAAAGTTGAGCCAAAGTCTTATGCCCCTGGCACCTTTGACAGTTTAATTATTTTTTTCAAGCGTTTAACATAATTTGTGCTTTTTCCATTTTTGTGGATCACTTTGGTCCAGCATTGCTGTTTTTAAACAAGGTTTTATATTCCCGTTTTTAACTATTTTAAGTATGATTAATTTAATTCACTTTATGTAACACCACCCAGTGAGAGGAAGGGTGTCCCGTCACATCATAGCTCCACATTATGTCGCTATTATTTCTGGTTGTGCTCCCTTTTATATTCATTTGATTTGTAAAATAATTAATATTACTCCTACTTTTGTCAGGCCTATAATCACGTATTAATAAAAAAGTTTTTGTTTGTTTAGCCATTTGTTTAGCCATATTATACATACATTTCCTGTATTTGGCCAACTGTCACATCCCATAATTCCTGCAACCCAATCCCACCAATCACAACTTTACGATAGACTTTTTCCCTTTTTATCTATTTCATGGTCACGCAACAGTTTTCTCTTGGTGGATACTTTCATTATTATTAATTCTATAACATGCTATTAACTTTCCATGAAAATTTAATTGAACAAAAGGTTAGAGTTATTTGGTGTAAAGGCTTAAAAGTGTTACCATATTTCCCCTCCACCTCCCTAATTAAGCTAAATAGCTTAATTGGTAAGGATAGGGGTCATGTATCTGGAAATTGGAACCCTAAACTTGACTTATTTTATATAAATATTGTTTTAGAATGAGAGAAATTCTCTTAATAGTTTCAATTCTGTGTTCTGTGTAACATAAAAAAGAATAATAGTATAAATGTATTCCTTGTGAGTCAGAGTCGAGGGCAACTTCACTCGGTAATATCCCATTTTATGAACACTCCCTTCCCCAGGTAAATTATTTTTTGTCCCACCTCGTTGACCCCTTTTCATACAAAACTGAACCTTGAGGAGAGTTTCAGTCTGCTCTCCTTTTTTTTAAGTCATAAGTTACCGAGTAGTATTTACCTGGGCTCTCAGACGTTTAACTTTATGGTTTGTGTCACACTAACTTATCATTTTTCCTCTTAACTTTGACAAGGCTATTTGAAGTAATTTTTCTCGTTGACAATTTGTTCGGTTTCCGTACCCGTTAGTCGTTTGAACATGGTAAAAAATAGTACAGAGGTAACTTTGGTGATTGAATTAGGCTATTTACCCAGTTTCCAAATCCATACTGCTCGATAGCATCGAGTAACGACTGCTCTTCCCTGCTAGTCCATCCTCCCTCTGCCTCGGGACCCCAGAGAGAGAAGCGACCGCCGTCGACCTGCTGGTACCCGTGCCATCTCCGGTGGTTGCCGATTTCCGCCCCCGCTGAGAAGCATTCCGGACACAGCTCGATATCGGGGCAGTCGGTGCAGCGGAGCCGCAGGTTCGTAACATCTGCGAGGCAGTTAACGCAGTACTTCTTTCCCAGGTCGGCCATCTTGCCTGGCTCCTGCTTCTTGTTGTTGGAGGCAGAACCTCGCGCCTGCGCACTGCGAGCCTCGCCAGCGCGAGTTTCACACATCCTGCTGTTTAATATTCACGAGAAAAGTGCCAGAGCGTCTGTGATTGGCTCTTATCTCCAGTTTCCAGGACAACGGAGACTAAACGAACAATTCCGTGCGAGAGAACTGCACGAGCCTCATTGCTCCAGACAAGTTAAACTGGATATTTTTTTTATATATATATATATTTTTAATCATTATTAGAAATGGACAGACACCTAGGACGTGAAGAATATGACGTTGAGAACCAAACAGTTGAGGAGAACATTTATCCCACCGATTTTAATGAAACAGAAAATTGCACAGCCAAAGTGCTGGTGTCTGATCATGAAATTAGAACATTTTCATCCACACGTGAGCCAGAGGAGAACCCTGGATATGAGGGTCACAGTGGCTCAAATGAAGAGTTGGATGTGAAGGTAACTTATGACCAAAGTGTTGTGTTTGAGACTGGTGATGGTGACAACGCTCCTTTGAGTTTAAACCTGGAGAGGGAGACCCCCAATCCCACGGAAGGGGACGAAAAACAGGAGTCCACGCAGCTCCTGCAGGACCTGTGCAAGCAGAGAGACCGAGTCGGCCGGCGAAACAGACAGCTGCAGGTGAAGCTGGCGGAGTACCTTGGCAGAGGCGACGGCCAGCTGGAGGAGGGCAGGCCCGCCGGGGATCAGGTGATGGAGTACCAGGAGCACACGGAGATCCTGGCCGATCTGAACCAGGAGCTCTGTTCCGAGTCTGAGGCGGCCCAGCGGCGGGCAGAAGAGCTGAGGCTGGAGTCCCAGCAGAAGCTGGACAAGGTCTGTGTCGTCATCAGGACTTTCTACGAATACACAAATTAAAGACACCTCTAAAGAAATCAGTCGTGACAACAAGTGTCCACAGCGGTCCAAACACAATCTGTTCAGTAAGCCTTTGGTTGGTAGATGCTGAATTCATCCTTTTTCTTGACTGTGGCAGGAAAGAGGAAGGAAGAGGAGAAGGATAGTGAAGACGAGAAGAGGCTTTTTGACAACAGACGAAGCAGCAAAGAGTAGGAGAGGCGAAGGAGAGGAGAGCATCAGGTGGAGAGTTCAGGGTGTTTGTCGTAGCTCAGATTTAGTTCAGAGCTTATTTTCCCCAGAAGAAACAAGTATTAAACTAGTTTTATCAACATTCAAAACAAGGGAACAACTTGTGTTCATTTTGATTATAGTACAAGTCTTCTGTTTAGATCATCTCTGAAATTTCCTCATTTCCTCATTTCCTTTTTTTTTTTAACCTTTTCTTTTGTTTTTATGTTTCTATGTTAAGAACTACAATGCCCAGTAACTTCTTACACCAAAGACGAGAAGCTAACAAACAATGATTTTAGTTTGTGAGCTTTGGTAATTGTGTTTTTAGACGGCATCCCCATAAATATGAAATGACGTCCTGGGGCCTTGTTCAAGGGCCTAATTTCTTCTTTTCATGAGTTCATTGCGTGCTAATAAAAAGATACTTTGCTAATAAACTGGTTTAGAGCTCCTTTCGGTGTCCCCTTCTCGGGGAAAAACGAGAACAAGGGATCCTCTCATGCTGCTTTTGAAAGAGCTGAATGGAGGCGATGTGCATACTGAAGTCTTTAGACCAGGCTGTGGACATACAAAAAGGGGGAGTAAAAAATAAGAATTTTGTCAACTGTAGCTTGAAACCCTGGAGAAATATCTTCGTCATTTTTTATTTTTTTGGTCCGCGTCCGTAGGTGGAAGCAGAATGGCGAGCGTTTGTGGCCGTGAAGCGGGACGCCGCCGTGTGGGCGCTGACCCGCCGCCTGGGTCAGGAGGCCGCCCGGGCCAAAGTGGACGCCGTCCTGGCGACGGAGCAGCTCCGGGAGGACGAGCTGGTCAGGGCGGGCCTCCGGCGCTTGGAGCTGGGGCTCCGGGTCCGCCGGCTGGAGGCCGAGCTCCGCCACGGGGGAGGAGCGGGCCGAGACCCGCTTCAGGTCCAGTTTGAGCGGCTGCAGGCCGAGAGGCTGGAGCGGAAAAGACGGGACGAGAAGGACGGCGAGGTGGCGCTGAGGCTGCGGAAAAAGATGGCCGGCTGCTTGGAGGTGAGTCGGTGACGGTCATTTACGTGTACCGGGGGTGTACCGTTCGCTCTAAACTTTGTGGTTTTCCCAACGTACCAAGGTCCTGGCAAACGTGAGAGAGAAGCTCTACTGGAGCCTGACGGAGGTGGAGACCAAGCGAGAGCGTCTGGCCGAGGTGGAGGCCCTACTGGCCGAGAAGAGGGACCTCTTGACCCGGACCAAACGGGCGCGGAACGGCCTGCAGGGCGACAACCTGAGGCTGAGGGAGTGCCGCGGGCTCCTGGGAAACGCGGTCCTCCTGCGCGACTTCCAGGACACCGCCGATGCATCGGAACACCTGGAGAAACATCTGGAGAACCTGAAGAACCGAAGAGCCGAGATTGCCCACCGCCATGGAGGACGGAGGAGTAAACTGGGGGCCGCTTAAAATCAGTGACCGCGGTTAGCCGAAGTTCGTGGAGACACAGAGCTTTGATTGGAGGGTATTCACACGCATAATAAAGTAAAGAGGTTTCTGAGTCTCAAGTTTTTGGTATGTTGGAGCCTCATTTTCAATGGCTGAAATATGGACACATTGTTTTAAACAATTTAAACACATTGTTTTAAATACATACAGTCGGACACGAGTATGGAGGGTTTTAGGTAGTTCGTAATCCAGAGCTACCCAAGATATCTTTTCAAATAAAAAAACAAAAATGAAAGCTACCCAAGTTATCTTTTCAAATAAAAAAAACAATAACAATATTCTGTCTTCGCCCAGTCAGTCTCATGAATCCAGTTTTTGTGAATGTCCATCTTTTCTACAAATTCCTCACCATACTTAAAATAGAATAGAATAGAACATTTAATTTTATTTATTTTTTAGTTTTTTTAGAATTTTTTTATTATGATGGAGTATTAAGGCCACATTTTTAAAAAGATTTTTTGGCGAATTATTTACAAGATTAAAGTCGTTATTAAATATGACATAAATAGATAAAGTAAAATTATGTAAATATTCTAATACATTTTAGAGTTTTCCAAATCTTTTTTTTTTTTAAACACATTAATGACTCATAAGTGTCACAAGCGTGTTGTGCTTTAAATCTGCAGTTTAATCAGGTATTCACAAATCATTAAACGCATATAAAGAAAATTCAGTTTCAGTTAATTCAACTTTTGGTGAGTTTATGTAGATTTCATTTATAGAATAAGGACACATGACTGATTTCTGCTATGGATTCACCCAAAATTACAACTCTCACAAACAGCTCCTAGTTTTGGGTTGATGAACACATTTCATATTTCTGTTAATTTATTTATTTATTCTTATTTAGAAAGCGCAACATGCAATAGGCTGTAATTAGTTATCCTACATAGGTTTCGAAGTTAATCTCCTGATTTATCCTCTTTCTGTTCTCTGATCATTTATTTGTATTTTTCAATATATCAGTGTGTTCATCACGCTATCCCTCTGAAATACCATTATCCATCCTTTTTCACTCATTTACACTCTTTGACCTTTTAAAAAAAAACTTTTTGGTGTGTCTCTGGTCAGTAATCAATGTGAGTTGATCAAGTTAAGTGTTTTCTTTTTGCAGTGATCAATCTAAGTATTTTTATTAACAGAATTTCTTTCGGAAAGTAAGTTTTCTGTGCTTTCCAGTACACATCTGCTGAAAAGACATCAACTCCGTTTCGAAAGTCAAATAAAACAACATAAGATTTTGACTGATTGCTGAAACATGGAGAATAAGCCAGTAAAAGCAATAAAGATCAGTGAGCGTAAAAATGCGTTGCTGAGTGAGGAAAAGCAAACGTTGGTGCATCGTTGTTGCAATAGATGGGGCTAAAGCTCCTCATTCCGATTCTTCTTTTTAACTCTTGTCCAGCTTCTCCAGCCAGTCCCTGTTCCCCGGGTGTATACAGATGTCTGGTTCATCTTTCACAGTGATACTGTAAGGCGAAAAAAAAACATAGTATTGTTCCATTAGTATGACTATTAATATTATTTCTCACTAATATAAATCCGTCTGTGCATGTTTACTTATTGTATTAAAGATATAATGTCAAAGAAACATCTTACTAAATGTTGTTGGGGCAGTTGGAATCAGTATAGATGGATTTTACTTCCTTAGTTTTAAGACTACCCAAGTGGGGATTAACACGGCAGTCACAAATTGAACCTGTAAGACAAACTTTGCCTTTACATGTGTGTGTTAATCTGAAACAGATGGCAGTTCTAAAAGCACATAGCTACATGTTAAGACTCTCTGTTTAAGGCCAGTTATGACATTTCTGGTTTTATCAACTATCGGCTATGAATATTTTTAACTCAGCAGAAAACAACAAGACAAGGAAGGTTAAGATACCTTGAGGGAAAGGCTCCAAAAAAGCAGGAGGCTCGAAACCACTATCTTTAATTGGACCCACTGAGTACGTCAGGGGTGGTTCCCTGTGATCGTCTTCAAATCTGTAAAGACTATTGGAGTTGTGGTAGTAAAGACCGTGTTAGACAGCATAAACAAAAAGCATTTCACTAAAGTGCCTTCACCCGACTGATATACAATCGTTACTTAATAATGACTTAAATCTATTAAAAAATTGTGACAGCGGAATGATTGATCATTATTGTTAAAGTTTTGCCTAAAATGCAAACTGACTTGTCTCCAAATGAAAAAGAAATAATCACTTTCAGATTTAAACATTTAAGTTTATAAAGTGTTTTTAAATTATCAGGTTTTTTTCTATTATTGGGTTATTTTAAGTCAGACAATAGAAGATTTGAACAGCTGTTCCAGTGCTATGAGTTTAAATAAAATCTTTCTTAAGTACATGCAGGAAATTTGGATTAAAATGAGATCTTTGCTATCATTTTAAGGAGAAGAGCTGTGAGAAATGGGTCCTCTTGGTTCCTTCTTTCTTCTTTTTTTTCGTCATTATGTTAAATGTATGTGCGTATGGAAAGAAAAAGAGATTTTAAAAAATATAATTGTTTTGAACTTCCTCACCTTTAGTTTTTTCTTTGTTTTTTGTTTCCAAATGTCTATTATCCTTCCTTTTGTGTTAGGGTCAGCAATGACCCGTTTTTTTTTTGTTTATTTGTTTGTTTTTGTTTAACACCAGAGCAAGGGGTTAACACCAGAGGAAGGTAATAGGTCAGGATCATTTTCAACTTACTGTAAAGAAATTGGTGTCCTACACACTTCACTGCCATCCTTTTGTTTCTGTCTGAAAAACAAAAGTTAGGTTAATTTGTATTTAAGATTTCTTGAGTTAAAAAAGAATACATTGAATATATCAAAATATCCTTAAAATCTCAACAATATCCTCAACATCTCAACTAGAGTCTTGTCATATTACATGGATTGGAGTTGGTAGAAATCAATAAAAAAAATGTAAACCACAGTAAGATAAGCATTACATTTAGTGTTCTGAAATATTTTCTATATAATATTTGTCAACACTTAGGGTTTTGTGTTCACATACAGCATTTGCAGAATTCTATAAAGGTAACATCTCAAACAGAAAAGCAGAATTTACTTGAATTCAGTACGGCTGCAGTTGTCACTGGGGGGCCAAATTCTAAGTGTCATGCCCGGGGACATTTCAATGGGATGATACTTTTCTGGTTCTGGACAGCGACATCCATCGTAAACTTTTGGAGGATAAAAAACAATCCATTTCATTAGACGTGTGCTGATGAAGTATACAATCATTTTTGAATTTCTGTAAATATACTTTTCAGAGGCTTAACACTGAAATTATGTTACCCCCCAAAAAATTTTTTAAAATGTCTTTACCATTTTTGCTCATGGCGTTTTTATGAAAATACCGGCGGATTATCACTATCTGAGATACTGTGCTGAAAGAAAAGCGCAAACAGAAAGTCCTTTCTTCTTTCAGGAGAACGCTGTAAAAGCAAATGGAAAGACAACCAAATCATTCATTTGTTTTCTTTCTGAAGTGCTCCGACAGTTATTTGAATTGCAGAGTGGGGACATGTTTTTTCTGGTTGAGCTTGAAGAATAACAAATGCTGGGCTAAAATCTGATTAAAGCCAAGTGGAGCTTTTGACGAATACACGAAAACGGTGAAAACTTCTTACCTGTCAGTCCAAAACAGCATTGATAGATACATATGCAAAAATAAATGAAGCAGCGGTAGCAGGAACCTTACAAAATATAGCCAGGACATTCATTTGAATAGATTGTCACATCCAGCCACTTCACTGCCTTTGGGTCAACATCTTCCAAGTTTATCGCGGGTAAATTGCAGGGGAAGCAACGAGCTGTGAATCCACACCAGACAGACTGTTAACATACAAAATACATTGACTTTTTCTCATCAGATTAGATTATTCTCACATGGTAAAACTCACGATCTAGTTGTGACAGTCCGTGTAAGATTTTCCCACCAGTTGGCTGAGTCTGTCCCGTTAAAATTGGTGGAGGGTTCGGTGGC